TTTTTTTTTTTGGTCACAAATGGAATCCATATATTATGTTATAATATCTATGAAGCATGTGAAAAATCAGGAACCCTAGCACAAGATACAAACAGAAATATAGTGCACAACACAGAGCAGTTCCAATAAAAACACTCACTCTTTATTGCTATTCCCCGCATGGCACAACAGCTGATACACGACACAGCTCTTGTAACAGATGGATTACACAAACACTTCTATAGAATAGATTCTTAATCTAATTCTACCCACAGTTACGCGACATCACACCCACCGTGATTCGCTCCTGAACATGTTCCTAATCTACCCAAGAATGCAACGCAACAAACAGTCACGAAGCCGTAGCACCTGCTACTCACAGCACTGCTGCAACAGATAGATTACAAGATACTTCTATAGAATAGATTCAGAAATCCTATCCTACCCAGAGTTGCGCGACATCACATACACAGTGATTCGCTCCTGAACATATCTCTAATCTACCCCACTGTAACGCAACAAACAGTCACAAAACACCAGAACACTTTTTGCTCTGTTTCTGAGATCTCAAAGAGCTATTTTTGGGAGAGCCAACGGCATAAGATTAGCCTCCCACTCCTTTTATAGTAGTAGCAATCAGCAACTCCTATTACCCTAAAACCAGCTCCCCCTTAATCCGAAAGGACAACAGAACTGCTCATCTTGATTTCAGACCACCAGTCTCATCAACCTTTTCTCAACAGTAAGTAGCCCACTTGCACTTTGACTTTATGCACTTATGTCAGAATTCCTTTGTTAATTGAGTCCAGCTTCTGCAGCAAGCTTCCCACTTGTACAGCTCTTGGCTCGAGGTGCCACCTGGCATGCCTAGTCATCACGTTTTCTTTTCCTTAGCTTTTGACTTTTCCTTCAGCTTCTAAGTAACACACGAGCGCTTCACAGCTCCTATTTCTTCAGCAGATTCTTATGCACTTACACAATCTCCCCTTTTTTACTTGAGTATGTCAATCCAAGCATACTGC